CACATATTTTAAAAAGAAAACAGTTAGGGTGTGTTCACACCATGACTTCAGTCACATTCCATTTGTGTGTCTTCCTCGCTCCCTCTGAAATAATCTTTAATATTTAGGGCTGGTGCAGAATAGTGACCAAGAGAGGAAAACATGGATCAGGAAGTTCCTGGTTCAAATCTCATGTCCACAATCAACTCACTAGGTGGCCTATGCAAGCCATTCTCTCTCAGCCTTAGTCCTCCCAGCTATGTTATGGGGGATCGTCAAACTGACTTACCTTACAGCAGGCATCCCCAAACTCGGCCCTCCAGATGTTTTGGGACTACAATACCCATCATCCCTCGCTAACAGGACCAGTGGTCAGAGATGATGGGAATTGTAGTCCCAAAACATCTGGAGGGCCAAGGTGGGGGGTGCCTGCCTTACAGTGTTGTTGTAGGGATTACAACTAGAAGAGGGGCCACCAACCTTTCCAGAACAGGGTGCACATTTGCAATTTTTAGAAAGTTCAGTGCATCCCCCGGCAAACAAAATTCACTGTAGTCAACTAAATACAACCAATCACGCCCTAGGGGGCCCCCCAACCTCTGATCCTGGCATCCAGCTAAAGTGTGGGCATGTTTTACGGGGGCATGTTCAGTGTAGGAGAGAATGAGCCAATGTAAAGCTGAACTGGGCAATGCCAGGGATGGTTGTGGGCAGGATTCCTGCTTTTCACTACTAGATGACCCCCGGGGTCCCTTCCAACTCTACAGTTCTACGTTCTTCTGCTTGATTCCTTCTCTGCATCTGTCCACGCTCTTCACTCCTTGTTTCTTCCAGTCCAGCTCTTAAAGGAGCATTGCTCTCACATCTCCCTTTATCTGATAATCAAATGGATAGCACCTATCCATTATCAATAATATGTTCCAAGAAAAAAACAGCAGCATGAATGTGAAAGAAAACAAAAATCATCCCCACTCCCCCCCCCCCACAAATGAATATATTGTGGTCCTTTGGGTTGTCTTGTATGTCTTCTTAGGAGTTTTTCGCCCAGGGTAGGATATTTCTGGCTTTTGCTGCAGTATACCATCACATTGTTGAGAATCTGCTTTCTCAGCATGTCATGGTGCCCTGGGTTCAAGTTCCTCAGCGTTCCCTTCTATGAGTTGAAGATGCCATCTGTTCATCCTGTACGATTCACCACCCAATGTCAAGACCCTCTCACCCCACCCGTCTGGAGCTTGATAAACCATATGGATGTTTTTTGTTCCATAGCAGGAGCGCAGAGCAGGGACTGGCAAGGCACCCCCCTCCCTGTCAGTTCTTGATGCATTTTGCACTGGTGATTGACTGGAATTGTTTCACTGGTTATTTCAGTCTTGGATGTTTATAGTTTAATGTTTTAATGGGGTTGTTTTATTGCTCGTTTTAATTATGGTATATTTTAAATTATTCTGTATTGGTTTTTATGTTTTGTAAAATGCTTAGAAGCCACCTGGGTATTAAGCAGTGTGTGTGTTGTGTGTGTGTGTGTGTGTGAGAGAGAGAGAGAGAGAGAGAGAGAGAGAGGAGAAGAGGAGGAGGAGGAGGAGGAGGAGGAGGAGGAGGAGGAGGAGGAAGGAATGTGTAGGCGTCATTCATACCCTATTTGCCTCAATTCAGATAAATTATTAGAGGAGGAGAAACATCAAATACAGTGGTACCTCGGGTTACATATGCTTCAGGTTACATACGCTTCAGGTTACAGACTCCGCTAACCCAGAAATTGTGCTTCTGGTTAAGAACTTTGCTTCAGGATGAGAACAGAAATCGTGCTCCGGTGGTGCGGCGGCAGCAGGAGGCCTCATTAGCTAAAGAGGTGCTTCAGGTTAAGAACAGTTTCAGGTTAAGAGCAGACCTCCGGAACGAATTAAGTACTTAACCCGAGGTACCACTGTAGTGTTACCACTGATTTTCTTGGCAATGCCTTTGCATCTTTAACAACTGCATGACAGGCAGAAAATCAAACTCTGTAACTTTCACTATCACTTCATGCTGCACTGTTTTAATGTCTTGTGACCGCATAGCTACTTTAGGGCCAGGCCGTGCCAGTGGGGCAGGGGCAATTCTAACATACAAGCAGGAAGGTTGGCAACCTTGATTTAAGTGCATCTCAGGGACGCGGGTGGCGCAGGGACGCGGGTGGCGCTGTGAGTAAAAAGCCTCAGCGCCTAGGGCTTGCCGATCGAAAGGTCGGCGGTTCGAATTCCCGCGGCGGGGTGCGCTCCCATTGTTCAGTCCCAGCGCCTGCAACCTAGCAGTTCGAAAGCACCCCCGGGTGCAAGTAGATAAATAGGGACCGCTTACTGGCGGGAAGGTAAACGGCGTTTCCGTGTGCTGCGCTGGCTCGCCAGATGCAGCTTGTCACGCTGGCCACATGACCCGGAAGTGTCTGCGGACAGCGCTGGCCCCCGGCCTCTTAAGTGAGATGGGCACACAACCCCAGAGTCTGTCAAGACTGGCCCGTACGGGCAGGGGTACCTTTACCTTTACCTTTTACCAGGGAGCTGAACCAAGCGTTTGAGCATTCTGCTTGGGCACACTTAATTACCAGGAGAGAAAAAGCAACTGTCTTGCTGCTATTCTTCCTATAAACTCATGTCTGCATTAAATGAAGATAAAGATGGCCACACACACACACAACCTACAATGGAGAATTTGTTTATAGGCTATCAGTAAAAGGGCCATAATGCTGCCCTTCATCATTGCTTGTCATACCACTGACAACCTATAAAACTTCTGCTTCTGCATAACTCTTTATTTGTCTGTTCCTGTGCCAGCTTAGACCCTGGCAGGTGCCTGGCATGTATCAGCAGTATGATTTATTACCTCATTTAATAAACAATGTGAAGGAAAGAATGAGATATTTTCTTTTAAAATTACAAATTAGGGGCCTCCTCTCTCTGTTTAATGACAAGAGCCCTGGCTTCGTCTCTATTTGAGGTGCTCCATTTATTGCCCGGGCGGTGGGGATGCTGCCTGTTGTTGTTGTTGTTGTCGCTCTCCAGCCTGTCCCTGGAAGTGAAATTTATGCAATACCCCAGCATAAAAATGAAAGCATCCGAGCTGAATATTATATTGACATGGCAAGCTTTCCTGAATGGATTCCACTGGCAATAAATAGCCTGGATGTCTTGTCTCCCCAAGATTTAATGACCATTTCATTTCAGTTGGATTTCTCTTTTCCACCTAACAATATAATTCTACAGAAAAATTGCCCGGACATTTCCCTCCCCACCCCACACCCCCGCTTCTACTCTTGACACAGAGTATGTAGGTTTATGGGAATGCTAGACTTTGCCAGCTTTGAGCGGACTTCCCGTGGTTAGGGACATTTCCATGCAACCACTTCATGCTTGAACAAACCAGTTGGACAGTCATTTCCTCTTTCCAGAGAAACCTGGCAACTGTCAATCTGTGAAGTATATGTAAACCAGGAGCCATATTAGTGTCACTAACCCCCACTACCTTCTGAAAATATGCGGCCAATAGTCAGGGTAGGTCTTGGACTTTTTGTGAGGTTTTTCCCACCTGGTGCCTGCCTCTCCTTCTTGTTGGATGCCCCACTCCCTTACAAGCACAGATTGCTCTGTGATCCATGGCTGTCAGTATCCAACTCATTTGATGCCCAAGCCTCTCTGAATCTGCCCCTCTCGGCTCAGGACTCAGACAAATCCAGTGCACAACCCTACTATTTACACAACAAACCATGCACACATGCTTGCATCACATTCACACAGTTAATTGCATTCATGGCTAGCTTAGCCCATGATGGTAGGAATAGGTGAACTTTTCCATTTCAACTTCTGTTCCTTTTGCATTTTTCAAATCTTATGTTCAGTTCTCTGCGTTTCCACACAGGTTTGCATTTTAAAAAGAAATCATTGGTGTGAATTTCTCCACACTTTTGCCTAAATGCACATCTTTGCAAATAATTCTTTTTTTGTATTATTTTCACTAATATGTGCATTTTATGCACTTTGCCCTAATATATGCATTTTGTTACACATTACTTGGCTAGAGAATTGCATTGTAAACTTTGGAAAGTGTGGATTTTAAAGGATGGGTGTGCTTTGGTTCACTTATTGTTTTGGAAAGAGTTGATTAGGTAGGTTGACTTTAAATGACTACTGGGTCAATTTGGGGGGGCTGGGGGGCATTCTTAACAACTGGAGATACATATGGTTTGATCTGCTCAAAGAAAGAAATGAATTGGATAGGGTGAGGTGCTTCATGCAGTGTTGTTGTTTTTTGTTATGAATGTACTCAATAAAGTTGTTTTTTGAAAGGGCAAAACTGCAGGCGGTGATACAATTCTGTTGTTTATATTGAATTAGAAGGCAAAAAGAGAAAGGGAAAACTCCCAAAGGCACTGTCTCCTGATGCAAACACAGAAGGATTGAATAAGACAAAATACTGCTTGCTTTTATTAGCAAAGTCTTTGCAACTGTTCACTTGCTACAAGCTGTTGTCCAATTGCTGAGGTTGCTCTAAAGTTGATTCCCTCTTGGCCTTACCCGTCAAAGCCCGTCAGTTATCCTGACTTCACAGCCCAATGTTAATTTTTTTTCTGTGTGTCTTTTTGCATAATTAATAGGACTAGCAAGCCCACTTGGAAAGGGCATCATTTACAAAACCATATGCCAGAATGTTCATCTGGCCTTAGGCAGAAGGCACTGGAGGGTCAATGAACACCCTGCAGACTTTTTGGCTGTGATTATATGGTAGATGGAAGTTTGCCAACAGTGAATGTGCTGTGAAAAGGTCTAAAATGTCACTGGCTTCCTCTGTGTGTTTAAACGAAGAACATTTGCAATTTATGAAGCATTTCAGAACAGGTTCTACAAATAATAAGGAACTCTGAATGAGCTAGAAAGGAAAGCTATTGAGTTCTGTGTTGGTAAATATTATGCGGTGTCCAGTGTCATATGTTCTCAGCTCAACCGTTCATAGGTAATGTTTTCATGTTCTCCTCCATGTCTTTGCAGAACACTTGAGAGAAAAGCTGGAGGAATATATGGCACGTTTTGTCAAAGTGAGAATTGTGCGCACCAAAAAACGGGAAGGGCTCATTCGCACCAGACTACTTGGAGCCTCAATAGCTAAAGGAGAAGTCTTGACCTTCCTCGACTCCCATTGTGAAGTCAACGTGAACTGGCTGCCTCCTTTACTTAGTAAGTTATACTGGAACTTATAACATTAGGGTTTTCATGGTACTGAAACATATACTTTATCTCATGAATACAATGTAGCTTCCAACATTTTATTTAGTGCAACCCATCAACAGCATCTATAATTCACCTGTATATTTGGACCTGGAAGTGAAACTTCCTAGACTGTAATGCAAAATAGGATTAGCAGAAGAAACATGATTAGAATTAAAATGTTTAGGGTGGAACTCTTATTCATTTGGGCTGAATTCAGCACTGGTAGCTTTGAGTCGCCCACTAGTGGATCTTGAGGAGGCATGTTTTGAAACAGCCTTCCCCAATCTAGTGTCGCCCAGATGTTTCGGACTGCAACTCTCTTCAGCCCCAGCCAGCACAACTGTTGTATTCTGAAACATTTGGAAAGCACCATGTTGGGGGACAGCTGTTTTAGAACATCTGCCCACATACTGTGCCTTTTATATAATTATTTGTTTATGTTGTCCAACCTAGTGAGGCTGGATGAGCAACAATGGAATACACAGCACTTGAACCAGGAGGACAACATGTCCACTTGGATGATTCTGACACATCTGCCTGGAAAATAATTCAGAACTGTTATATTTGGGGGTTACTTCACTGGAACTTTGGAAATCTGAGCCTGTTGACCATTTACCATCTTAATCAATGGCCATTTACCATCTTCATCAGTGGCTCCCACCAAGAGAAGCTATCATAGCTATGCATCTAATATGTTCTACGGGCTCCCTGTTTTGTTTCGTTGGTGCTGGTCATTGGCCGCAACAGAAAAGATTTGATTTGATTTGACCTAAGCTCCAGATTTTGCATTTTTCATGAATGTTGTAATACAGCTCTCAGCAACTTAACTATACATCAAAATATACATGCTGAGAGAAAATATACTTTTTAAATATTTGAGATGGGTATGTTGCTCAGATTAAAACATCAACAGAACAGAATTCTGTGTCAAAGTGACACAGGCGAGAATTAAATAGATATGCTCCTCCCTTGCATCTACCCTCAGCTGCTATCAGAGAAGAAGCTGAGTTGCAGAAGTCTGATGTTCATATTTTAGGAGCCAGAATGAGCAGCATTTTCTCAGTGCATTCTTGCTGTACATACTCAAAGCTAAAATGACAATTCTTTTGCTTTCTGGTTTTTATTTTTTATTTTTTGCTTGCTCGCTGACTCCTTAGGTGACAGATTGGGGACAGCTTAGAGCAGCAAAGTGACAGAGATATAGATGACTTGACTTCTGTGGGTCTCGCTGGGATGTGACTCTCTTTGAAGAACTATAATGGCTTCTAATAACAGGCCGAGTGCATCAAGCCCGTTGCAGATAGAGGCCGGATGCAGATTTGAAAACTGAAATGATTTTAGGGCCATGGGGAGATGCTGAGGCAATTTTCAAAACTTTGAGGGGCGGGGGAAGAGGAGAAGTAAAAGCCTAAGGGATTTACTTTGCGGTAAATGTGATAGATGGCTTGGCTAGACGTACCCTCTTTTTTGTATTTTTATGCTTTTGTCTTTCAGATCAGATTGCGCTAAACCATAAGACCATTGTGTGTCCCATGATCGATGTCATTGACCACAATCACTTTGGGTACGAGGCGCAAGCGGGAGATGCCATGCGTGGAGCCTTCGACTGGGAGATGTACTACAAAAGAATACCAATTCCGCCAGAGCTCCTGAGGGCTGATCCCAGTGACCCTTTTGAGTAAGTAGCAGCAATACCAAGCATTAGAATGAGACATCGCAGGCAGCAGTTGCAAGAACTGTGGCTGCAGCAATAGAGGCAGGGCCTTCTGGGCAAATTAACCTCAAATTAAAGATGGCAAGTGGGAAGCAGCAACAAGCAAGAGAGTGGTGGGAAAGGTCAGGATGTGGAATCGCAAAAAGGGGCAGATCACTCTCTAGAGTTCCACTGCCCCCGCTGCTCTCATTTGAGCAAGGAAGAATCCAGCCAGCAAAAGATTCCTGTTCTTTACTGTTAGCAGGGGGGAATATTGGGAGTGATTGGGGAATAAATGCATCTGTGCTGATTTTCTTTACTATTCCATGGAGTAGCCTTTGAAGAGACATTAGTTTATTATTTCTTTGCTAGGGATTGATGCAACAGATGAATCAAAAGTAAGCTTGTTTTCAGCTAGCAAAGCCCCTATGTATGATTGATGGTGTTGCTACCATATACATCCTGCTATAATTTAAACACAGGGGTATAAGGCAGCTGACTTGTGAATAATCTCAGATAAGCCATCGTCTTATCCCTGGTATTGGGTGGATGAGATAATTCACAGTAACAATCTCCCAAGGCGCCACAAAGTTGAGTCCATTTTTACTTTGATTTTATTTTTGCCTGTCATGCAAAGGGGGATTTATCCTCATCAGCCAAGAAAGTGAGAGGAGAGGGCACCAAGGGAGAGGAAGTGGAGTTATGGCCAGCGATCAAAACCACAAGCCAGTTAAACTGAAGTGCTTAGTATTCAGAAGCTGATTCGGTTCTTTTCATGATAGAGGGACTAAATCAGGAGACGTTCAAGATGCTGCACTTAAATGGAGTCCCATGTATGCAACCAAATAACACTAACATCATCAAACACCATTATTTTGTGCATAGATGCTGGTTACTCTTATTAAAGTACCGAGTAGCGTTCAGACATGATAGCTGCCTACTTTCCTAGTTCCTTTCCATTTTACAACTATGAACAGGCAAGAAAGGGTATATGATTACTGTGGTCAAGCCCTCTTGGACAGTGGATTTGCATTCCTGAAATAACCACAGCAAGAAGACTAAGGCTGTGGGAAAGCAGGGAATCCCTAGCCCAATGACCCATTGACCCACACCAGCTTGACAAAGCACAGCAAGGTCGGAACAAGAGAGAACATGGTAAGAAAAAGCTGAATGTAGGCAAATCAGGACAATCTGGGAACTTATTGGTCCAGCAAATGCCTGGAGCCAGCTGTGATGTTAAGTAGATTTATGGCAAAGACAGTGTCCCAGTCTCTTCCTCCTTGTAGGAACACTGTGGGTTTAAAGGAACTGTATTTTATTCTGAAGGTTTGTACTGAAGCCTTCTGCTGCTTCTGGACATTGTATGGCAGTAGAGAATATCCTTCCCAGCTGCATGTGCTCCTGGAAATCAGTCCAGAGTCACAGGTTTGAGGTTTGAGGTTTGTCTAACTTCCAGGCACCAGGGATGGAGGGATTGTCTTCCCCTACATAGAAATTTGAATCAGCCTCTCCCAGGTCCTAATCCAAACACTCTCTAGCCACTACACTACTTTGCTGAAGTTCAGTTCCAGGACATCAACAAAATTTCACCACCGGTCTTGAAGCTTTACACTTTTCCAAAAAGTGTGCTCAATTGCTTTAAGCACAATTGATCAGCCCATTTGTTTGGGATTATCAAGGCTTGCTCTTTTCTTAGAGGAACTGGTTTCAGATTTACATTATGTTCCTAAAGTTTGGTAGTACATAACTCCCAGCGGAGGGACATGTGCAACTTTAAAGAGAGATTAAAATCTGTTTGTTCTGTTTAAAAGTCTAAGAACTATTAATGCCTCCCCTGGTACTTCTAGCTTTTAACTGCATTTCACTCCTCAATAAATCTACCTGCTGCAATAAAATAGGGAGCACACGACTGCAGGCCATGTAAACAGCACCAACAGGCCATACCTAGAGGTTTGCATATCCATTTGCTTTACAAAAAGTCATAGAGCTGAATGGAACCTCAGGGATCATCCAGCTCAACCTCCAGAATAATAAAACAAAGTAAACTTCACTCTTCCAAAAATGATCAAGTGATAGTTCTGTCTTAAAATGACTTCCTTTGCTTTGGTTAAATACACCAGTAAAATTATATACTGCTTCAGCATGCAACATGCCCCCTTCTCCCCATACACATAACTCCCTTTTTATTTAAAATAAAAAATGATGTGGAAATGTGGAGAACTGAACTTAAGAATGGAATAATGAGAAACTGAGGGAAAGCAATAGCTCTGCCCATCTCTAGAATGGATGCAAGACAAGCTCTGGCAGTCTGGCTGGATGCAAGGCAGGCCAAGCAGCTTCAAGCCAGAGGTAAGGCAGGGCTTTGGTTGGATGCAAGGCAAACTTCCATGTTATCTCAACTCTGGGTTCTAAAATGACATTTTAGGCCTACCCTTGTAATCAGTCAAATGGTAAACTAAAAAGCTTAAGACTTCACTGGACAAAGTTATTACAGAAAACAATGCAGAGGAAATAAGTTGAGGATTGCTGGCGGGGTAGGGGGGAGATACTTTGGGCTGGCCCTGTGTGTCATGTTGTTTTAAAAAAACATATCAGCAACAGTCCCTTGTTTAATATCAGCATCAGCCATCTTTACCTCACAAGAGGGCGGAGGGCAGCTGCTTGTGAAGCAAACAAATCACTGGGGTCAAGGAGACCCAAGACACTTGACAAGAGGATGTGGAGGATAAACTGGGGTGGGGTGAGATAATAGGTCTTGCCCTCTTTTATGTTTTTGGAGAATGCAGGCAAGATGATAGTAAGCCAGTTCCCATAGTCTTTTGAGACAGAATGCTGAATTCCAAACAGCTGAAAGAAAACACCCGCTCATGGATTTGAGGGAAAGTGTGTGAAGTGAGGACCATTTCCTTAACTTTCCATGTGCTTTGGGATAGAGGAGTCCAGAAACAGCACGCTAGGTGGGGAGGAACCAGTGCACTAGCTTCCTGGCAGGTGGATCGCCTGTACTTACTGGGAAGACAGGGAAAAAGAGGGGACATTGGTGCTCTGCAGATGCACTAGTGGAGCCAATCTGGTGCTCCTGCCATTGTGTCTGCACTACACCAACCTTCCCATCACCTTGCCCTCTTACTCATCAGAAGCAACAGCAACCCCACCTGCTGAGAAGGTAGCATAGCAGCTCCACCCCACTGTCTGAGCCACTTCCAATTGCTCTGCATTCCCTTGCCTGCTGAATCCTGAAACACCAGGCTTGCCTCTGAAATGAAGCTCTCAGAACAAAACCTGCCACTACAAACTATTCTACCCTGTCCTTATTACTGACATAAAACACAGGAAGTAATTAGCTGGTATAGAGCGAAAGTCACTGTTTTTGTACGTTTAATTTGATTTTATGCTAAAGACTGCATTTGGTTCTATTTAATTAAAACTCCTTTGGTTAATAAGTTTCCTATGGATTCAAGGATTTCAAACAGTTGCCCCTACCTTTTGAGAAAAGGCTTGAAGATGCTAATGAGGTTAGTATATAGGGTATAAAAAGAATTAACAAAGGGGGGGGAGCAAATACTGCCTAATGACTGCACACACTTTTTAAAATTGAACTTTGTTCTTAAAAAAAAAAGAAGAGGCTTCAGCTTGCAAAGGTAATCTATAAAAGTATCCAAAAGTAAAATAAAGCAGGTTAGAAAACAGTTATCGGCTTTAAAGATAAAGAGAAAAGGCATATAGCTCCAGGCTCAGTTAAGCAGAAAATGAACATCTGATGCCCTTCTTAGTGTCCCCCCTCTATGAGTGGTCTGGTGGGTGGCAACCCAAGAACAGGGTTTTTCTGTGGTGGCTTCCTGTTTATGGAATGCTCTCCCCACGGAGGCTCGCTTGGCACCTTCACTACATATCATAATAAGAACAAAAACCCCACAAATACATTTAAAAGGCCATAGATTATTTGCTCGGTGCCTAAAGATTTTGATGGCAATGCTATTACTGGGCACTGGAAAAAACTGCACTCATGAAGAGTGCTACATCTGCAATAAATTGCCAAGTACAGTGGTACCTCAGGTTAAGTACTTAATTCGTTCCAGAGGTCCATTCTTAACCTGAAACTGTTCTTAACCTGAAAAACCACTTTAGTTAATGGGGCCTCCAGCTGCTGCTGCGCCGCCAGAGCACGATTTCTGTTCTTATCCTGAAGCAAAGTTCTTAACCTGAAGCACTATTTCTGGGTTAGCAGAGTGTGTAACCTGAAGCATATGTAACCTGAAGCGTATGTAACCCGAGGTACCACTGTAGAGGAACACTGATATGGTGTCCTTGGTTCTAATAACCATATTATCTTACTATGGTTCAAACCAAGTGAAAACCTAGCCTTTGGAGAGGAGGGTGCTGGTTATGTCATGTTTTTAAAATAGAAACTAAAGGCAATGCATGCCTCAACACAATAAGAAGGTCACACCATCTGCTTCAGATGTGTCACACATCTGAAAAGAAACAACAATCAGTGTCTGGTCACTTAAAAAAAAAGAAAAGATAACTGTCTGCCCAACTATTACGGCAGAGGATGCAAGCAGAGAAAATTGTATGACTATGTCTTGCCCCTACACAGACAATCAAAGCTATTCTGCCAGATAAACTTTTGCTGTGACAGTGCTAGGCAGCTTGCTGAACAACCATCGGCAGCCTTAGCAGGTAACATTTGGAATTAAATTACCTCTTTTGACGATCATCTTGTTTTGCAGAGGGAGCAGAGGCTTCCTACAGGACACTTTATTGCTGTGCAGAAATGCTTGATTGTGGAGAATTGGGACACTCTTACACCCTTGAAATACGAATTGTTAGTTTATATTGCACTTACATCCACATTGTCGCTCACATAGCAGATTGCTTCCTGATTACAAAGCAAACAAGAGCCCAGCTGCAGAAAATGCAATCTTTGTTTTGGTCTTGGGATTTTTTTATCCATCTTTTTTTGTTTTTTAATAATAGTAATA